TATGTGCTTGGTGGCTGCCAACTGCATGCACATTCTCAACGGCTTAGAACTAGAGGGTGCCCTCACGTCCCAGGCACACACGTGATGATGAGAGATCTGCACCTGCTTCATATTCACAATGGACTGAATAGCTGCCATCTGCCACGTATTCGATCTTCGCGGCGCTATCAACACAAAATCCATATGGCGACAACTGGTGAGATATGTCGTAAATCTGTCCAGGACCCTCCGATCATTGCGCGTTCCCGAAGTCGTCCTGCATCGCGGGAGCTTTGCGACTACCAAGAATGAATCTCTCAAAAAGGCATCGCGTGCTTCCAGCCACGAAGATTCCAGAAACATAGTACGGGATACTACTCGTAAATGTGGATATCGTTCACTCAGCTGCTGCTGCAGCTGCGCATCTTCACTGATCAACACCACGTATTTGGGGCTAGACGATGCTCCCAAGACTCCTTCCTCCCTCTTGTCCTCCTCGCCGGCAGTCTGATACGCCGTCCCTGGGGTCGGCGGCGCTGCCTCCGGGCTGAGGCAGCCCGCCTCGGTTTGTCAGTCGGTAGAGGAAGACCAGCTCACCGACTTTGAATGACTTGTCGGTGTCCTGGTAGTTGGTGTTGATGCTGATCCTGATGCTGATCCTGCCGTCGCCGTAGTCGTGTCATTGGCATTCTTGGTGGTCATCACCATGTTGCTCGTCTTGCCGTCCTGCTTACGCCTGAAGCGACTGATGGGTATTTGCCAATGACCTGACTTAGATTTGTTCATCTGGAAATGGCGACTGCCCGGCGAGGGTTCAACCTTGACTCCGCCAGGGCCCAAGAACCATATTTCTCCGGTCTTGCATCTGATGAGCGCATCGTTACGCTCCAGACTCTGAATGCCCATGAGACCGGGCACACCCGAGTTCTCTATGCACGGCGACCTGAACTTCTCCTCGTGATATACGCCATCCGTGTCCACCATGCCAGTTGTCAACTCCACCTCAAAGTTCGCCTGCTGCGATCCGTTGCCGACGCCTGCAACGTACCTGGGCTCGATCAACGCCTGCTGATCCACCTTCTTGCCGAACTCCTGACACTTGACGGCCTGACGTCTGGCCCACTGATCACCACACAGTCCATCATGAGCTCCAGTATCTGGCATCAGGCCCACCTCGTCGTTCTGCAAAGCTAGGTTGCTGGCGAACACTTCATACTCTTTCTCGGTGATCCCAGAAGGCCACCATGGTCCAAATAAAGAGGTAAGATGACGAGGCCCCTGCGCCGCGTCGCTTTGACCGAGGGCGGTCATCTCCGTGATCAGGTTGCGTCGCTGCTGCGGTACAACCGTCGGTGCAAACTGACTATCATGAGGTACGATGGCGTTGGATCCATTTCTACTCGCAATCTCACGCAAAACCGATGCCAAATTTTCCATCATTGATGATACCTGAGGCCTCTCGTGAACTTGCTCGGCTATGTTCTCCTGCGTGGCCTGCTCAAGTGAAGTAACCAGCGCGCGACACAAGGGACACTTGGGCGGATCTCCAACTGCTCCATTGTATATCAGACCTGCGCAGTCCACACAGAAGTGAGTATGTCCGCATGGCATGACCTTGGTGGTCACCTCGCGCTCCAAGCAAATGATGCAGTGCTCCTCGTTGGTCTCGCGCTGAGGTCTGTTGCGAACCGCGCCGTCCACGGGCATGCGCACTGCTGCTTCCAAACGCTGATTGGCCACTTCCAGCTGATTGGTAGCAATCGTGATCATGGCATCTGCTGGTCCTCGTTGGCTCTCTGGGGAATGAAACGCATCCTCGTGCGTAACTGTCGGCGGCGTCGTATATCCTTGCTCTGCATGCTGCCCCGCCGCAGCCGACATAGCAACCAACTGCTGTACCAATGATGATGGCAGAGACGTTCTGCGTGCAATCGTCGTCGACGATGATCCGTCACCCGTGTGCATCATGTTTGGCACAGTCGCTCCGATCATTGAAGGTACGCCCATCTGCGAATATGGTACTCCCCATTGAGCAAAGAAAGGTCCACCTCCCCAGTTCTGCATTAGCTGACCACCTCCATGCATCACCGTGTTCATCATATTGGGCGGAGGTGTGAAAGCTGCTGCAATAGCTTGAGGAGGCAAGCCCTGCTGCATCTGCTGCATGACCAACTGCTGCCTAGAACTCATCTGCATCTGATGTTGCTCGTACATGGCGCGCTGCTGCGAGGAAGGTACCTCTGGGTACTCTGCCTGTTGATAGGCAAAGCCTCCGACATGTTGAGCATCGTGCCCTTCTTCGACATCTATCGCGGGCGCCGTGTCTTCAACAACCATCCACGAAGTAGCTGAGGTCGCACTCTGAACTTGATATTCCGTGTGCGTTTCCTCCGTCATGAAGAAGCGAGGAACAGATGGCAATCCTGCCAGAGGCCCTTGAGCAAAGGCAGGAGCTGCCGCTGGTACCTGCGCTTCCCCGTGCGTGCGCATGTGGCCCGGCACCTGCTGGTCAAGAGTAGATCCTTTTCCATTGCCACCTTTGCCTTTTCCAGCTCCGTTCGGACAGCGTCTCCACAGATGTTGCGTCGATCCACATGTTGAACACTTCAGCGGCTGTCCATCTGTGCCAATGGGATTTCCTTTTCTGCCTTTTCCGCCCTTGCCTGACTTACCAACGAAATCCACGCCGTCCTCGAAGTAGTGCCGTCGACGAAGAGGTCCGCGCATCCGTCGTGGTGCTTTCTCCACAAAACGTCTCCACTTCTTGCGATAGCGCTTGTACTTTTGGTAGTAATACTCGGACCGATCGTTATTAGACCATGATGACATATCTGGCTCATCTTCTTCTCGTCCGAACAGCACCGCATCAGCTTCGCCGTCGTCGTCCGAGGTGTCGCTGTCGTCGTAGTAGTATCCGCCATCCATCTGAGTCTGATACGACATGGCTGGGACGAAGGGCCCACCGCTTTGCCAGGGCGGTGTAGTATTTCCCATATCTGCCGTCATGTATGTCGTCTCTTGTGTGTGCATCACAGAAGGGCCGTGCGTCGCTGGGTTCATGATATTATGACTACCACTCTCAGCGAGGTGCCCAAACCTCTTGATGTATGATAAGAACTGTTTATACTGCATGTCATCCACTGGGAGTGTTCCTTGAAAAGGCGCGAGAACCTGCACCCAATACTCCGCTGGAAGACGCAGTGCCATCAATAGCATCCAAGCCGCATGGTGATGTTGTGCTGCTATGTTTGACCTCGTCCTCGCCCTCTGCAGCACAAACTCCCATCGTGTAAGTAAGGTGTCTATGTTCTCGCCGGGCATCCTCGCAAATCCATACAAGTCGGCCAGGCTCCTGAGATTTGTCTCCTCTTCGAGCGGTAAGAACTGCCTGGCCAACGCCTGAAGGATAAAGCCTGCTCCACTCAATCTCTGTAATCCTGCACCATCTCCGAGGTCCATGTCTGCTCCATGAATCTTCGAGTGAAGAGGCAGCTCCCGAATCATATCTCTCGCAATCCCACCCAGCGACAGCTCCAACTGTGGTCCCTTCTTGTTCTCGTCTAGATTCGTCGCATTACACCACGCCACCGCGTCGGCCAACCAATTCCTGAAAGGATATTGCTGCTCCATCTCCGGGGCCCACGGTGGCGGGTTCGTCATACTTCCTCTCATCAGGTTCCAGTCTCTAGGCTCTGGTACGTGCTGTCCATACGGCCATGCTGTGCGTCCACGTCCGGCTCCTGCGCCGCGACCATCTCCGAATGGCTGAAACTGTCCGACTGGAGACCTGAACATCTGTACGAAATATCGGGCTCTTCGTTGTCCGTGGAGCTGGCAATGCCAGCTCCGCTACCAGCTAGAGTTGTCGATGACAACCTCGATGTCGGCGATGATAAGACGATCACGCTCTTTCTCTCTCTCTCTCTCTCCGCACGTCTGGCGAAGACGTCTGTCCACTCAGTCTGAGTCAAACAAATACCACCAGCAAAGATATCTTGATATCACTTAGTGATCGATAAGGTAGTATATGATACTTCTGATCTGGGGATCTCTTGCAATAGTTAGTGTTGTGATATCAACTGCGCAGCTTGAGCCGTATCGGCTACAGGATGCTGCACATGCCTCTGAGCTCGACTCTACTACGTTCACTGCTCTATCAAGTGGCGTTGGATCCCCTCCTTGGCGCGCGGAGCGCGCTGGGGGCAGCGCCGGAGGTGCCGCCGGGGCCAGGGGGATTCCAGCGCCGATCCAACCAAACCGCGAGGACCTCCGAACGCTTATGATTATGCTCGGGGGGGAGGCCAAGAGGGGGGCGTCAAGGAGGGCGGGGCGAAAATCATGGCCGGCGGCATGTTCGCGGCCCAGGGGGGAGGGGGGGCGGGGACGCACTGAAATAAGAAGCGGCGCCACAAAATCTGGGGAAGTACCATGGCCCCCGCCATGACATCCCCCCCTAGTCTTCACCCTCCTCCTGGCCGCCCCGGATACAGTCGGGGTTGATTGGAGAGGACACGCGGGAGGACACGGGACCCTTCCGAGGGCCACATTGCCGTAGGAATGTAAAGAATGGGTCGCGAAGCTCAGGACACAAGGGCACCCTTGATTTAGCAGGGTCGACCTACTAGTCAATCTCGACCGTGCAGTCGGGGCGTTGACCTGAGGCACCCGAAAGAGAAGGAACGAGGCCCATCTGTCCCACGAGTTAAGCTTCGATTTCCCGTCGAAAACCTCAGGAAAACCTCAGGCAAGCTGCGGGCCTCCTGCTCCCGTCCTCGGGCCTATTTTGAGCGTCCTGGGGCGCCCTTGGCGCCTCTTGGGCAGTCTTGAGGCTCTCTGGGGCCGTCTTGGGCTCTCTTGGGGGCCTCCTCCTCCTCCTCCTCCTCCTCCTCCTCCTCCTCCTCCTCCTCCTCCTCCTCCTCCTCCTCCTCCTCCCGAACGAAAAGGGCTCCTGCTTCGGCGCCCCGACCGCACGCCGCTCCTCTTCTCCGAGAAGGGGCGGAGAGCGGGGGCCCGCGGCGCTCCTCCACGGTGAGCTCCCAGGACGAGGCGGCCCCGGAGGCCGTGGTGCCCCAGACGCGCAGGCGGAGGGTCGACGCCGCGGGCAGCGTCTGGGCCGGGGGGGGGGGAGGGGGGGGGTCGACCGAGGAGGGCAGAGGAGGGGAAAAGGGGGGGAGGGGAGGGCGAAGCCTTCCCGCACTTTTGAAACCTGTCCGTGGGGGGGAAGGGGCAGGAGGAGAAGGATGAGGATGAGGATGAGGATGAGGGTGAGGATGAGGATGAGGGCGAGGATGACGACGAGTATGAGAATGATGATGAGGATGATGATGATGATGATGATGATGATGATGATGATGATGATGATGATGATGATGATGATGATGATGATGATGATGATGCTGATGCTGATGCTGGTGCTGGTGCTGGTGCTGATGCTGATGCTGATGCTGATGCTGATGCTGATGCTGGTGCTGGTGCTGGTGCTGGTGCTGCTGCTGATGATGTTGATGCTGACAATGATTATGTTGCTGCTGATGATGATTATGGTGATGCTGCTGATGATGATGTGAGAAGGAGGCGGAGGAGGAGGAGGAGGAGGAGGAGGACAGTATCGAGATGATGACTGACATTGTTTTGCTGTCGACTCGAATCATTCAAGCGGTCTACAGAAGAGAATGCGAACGCGCTAGTGCCATCCAGTCCGAGCGCTGCTCTTTGAGCACTGGCTGCTGGGATGCTCCCTCGGGGCTCGACCTGTCATGGCACTTGAGCCAGGAGGAGGAAGAATAAGAGGAGGAGGTGGAGGAGGAGGAGGAGGAGGAGGACGCGGAATTGGTTACATCGCCATAATCATTTTGCCACATGGACGCTGCGATCACCCGAACATAGTCCGTGTATCGTAGAAGGGGGAAGGGGGAGCGGGAGGAGGATCGAGGGGCATCTGTTCGAGAGGGACTGCGGATGAGCTGCCGGTTTCGAGCGCTCTTGGGCTATTTGTTTCTGCGGCAGGGCGCTGCCGGAAGCGCGTCCGGGGCGGACCCCGGGAGCCCTCGGGGTACCCATGAGGCCTCCAGCGTCCTGGAGAGATCAGGGCGGCCAGCATTTCTCAGTCTTGGGCCGCTGGGGGCCCGCTTTGGGCGCCAGGCTTCGGTCGGGCATGTCCTCCTACAGGCGGATGGTGGACAAGAAATAAAGCATAGCCACAACGTTTCAAACATAGTCAAAAGAGCATGAAGCATCGTCACCCCGCACTTTTCTTCCATTCTTGAATACTCTTCCTGTAAAGGGACATGCCCGGTCTAACGCCAGGCCTCAAAAAAACCGTTGGGTCGACAGCCCAGGAGCCCCGTGGACTGAACACATGAGGACACCCCTGTGAATACGGCGGGGCCCAGGACAGGAGAGCACCCTTGAAGAATAGGAGACCCTCCGCTGGCCAAGCCGGGGAATATTCGAGGGTACACGCCCCGAGGATGCATCGGGTGCGCGCAAACATGGATTAGCGATCCATGGATTTGGCGCGCGGTCGCCAAATCCATGGATCGGGGGAAGTGCTCTCCCCAAAATGCGGCCCGTGCTGCCTCGTTCGGCGGCGGGAATCCGCGATTTCCCGTGGAAACGGGACCCGTCGCTGATCCACGCCCCCTTGATCCATGTTTGCGATCGCCTGAATTCACAAGAACACTCAACACAGACACACACACACACACACGAAGAAAATGAGGGCACCCTCCCCGAACACCGACCTCAACCTCCTGGCTCGGTACGAAGACCTGCAGAACGGGATGCGGCGGGGGAGGACCAGAGCCCAGTGCGCAGCAGGCAATCACATGCGGCGATGCACTCGCCACGAGGAGGGGGGATGGGGGAGGAGGGGGAGGAGGAGGTGGAGGAGGAGGAGGAGGAGGAGGAGGAGGAGGAAGAGGAGGAGGAGAACGAGGAGGACGAGGAGGAGGAACAAGATATGGTAGCAGGAGGAGCAGGAGACGGGAGCAGGAGGCGGAGGAGGAGGAGGAGGCGGCGGAGGAGGAGGAGGAGGAGGAGGAGCAGGAGACGGGAGCAGGAAGAGGCGGAGGTGGAGGAGGAGGAGGCGGAGGCGGAGGAGGAGGAGGCGGAGGCGGAGGAGGAGGAGGAGGTGGAGGAGGAGGTGGAGGAGGAGGATGGGCACATCCGCCGTCGGTCTTGGAGTTCCCGTGGACGGCTTGCGAGCTGCGGGCTGCGTGGGTGGTGGCACGGCGTGGTGCCGCCGCCGCCGCGTGCGGCCTGCGGGCGGCGCAGCGTGGTGGCATGGCGCCACGGGCGGGCTGCGGGCTGCGCGGCGTGGTGTCGCAACGTCAGCGTGCTCCTCCTCCCCCTCTCCTTGCTCCTCCACTCTTCCTCCTCCTCCTCTCGACTCCTCATGCCTCCTCCTCCCTCCTCCCTTCTGCTCATCCTTCTCCTGGGTCGTCTCCTTCTACCTCCTCCATCTTCGCTTCCATGGCTCTTCCTCTATGAGAAGCTCCTTCTCGTCGTCCCACCGCGCGTGTCGACAGGGCGGTCGGGATGGGCGCTTCGCCTGAGACTTCCTCACTGAAGCTCAGGCTTCCCGACAGCTGCGCGGATGAAGGGCTGGCGGTTGTCAATATGTGTTCCTCGCCGCAGTGCGGCGCACGATCGTCTTCAATGCTGCTGGCAATTATCTGGGTGGGGCGCGATAGCATTCGCAATGTCGCTCTTGCTCGCAGAGCCGCGCGCACTCGCGCAACAACTCATCCAACAGTTACGGGGATGGACACCCGGTGATTTTAAGCTGTGTCTCTCGCCTTAGCGCCGCACGCACTCGCGCCAACGAACGTTTCCAACATATATGTGGGTGGAGGGCCGTCCGTTTTCAAACTGTGGCTCCCGCACTAGCGCTCTAGCGCTGCGCACACTCGTCTTAAAACTATCCTGGCGAAAGACCCGACCATATGCAATTGTGAGAACCGCGTGGTGGGCATCGCTTTCGGTGGAGCTTCCTACGAGGCCACGGGACGTGTGGTGTGTGTGTGTGCGTGCCTAAACGGGGCCATGCCACTAGGGTCTTCGGTGGAGCTCCATATGGGGCCACCAAACGTGCGAGGGGTGTGTCCAAGTGGGCGGATGACCGCACCTGAACCCTGCCACTGGGGCCTTCGGTGGAGCTCCCTGTGGGGCCACGAAGCGTGCGAGGGGTGCGCCTAAACGGGCGCGGAAACGCATGTGGACCATGCCAACGGGCCTCCGGTGGAGCTCCTTATGGGGCCAGGAAGCGTGTGAGGCGTGTGTGCCCACATGGGCGGGGAACCACATGTGGACCGTGCCACTGGGGCCTTCGGTGGAGCTCCCAATGGGGCTAGGAAATGTGCGAGGGGTGCGCTTAAACGGGCGCGGAAACGCATGTGGAAACTGCCAACGGGCCTCCGGTGGAGCTCTCTATGGGGCCATGAAGCGTGTGAGGCGTGTGCCACAATGGGTGGGGAACCGCATCTGGACCCTGCCGCTGGGGCCTTCGGTGGAGCTCCCAATGGGGCCACGAAACGTGTGAGGGGTGCGCCTAAATGGGCGCGGAACCGCATGTGGACCCTGCCACTGGGGCCCTCAACGGAGCGGAGCCCCCAATGGGGCCACGAAGCGTGTGAGGGGTGTGCCGAAATTGGTGGGGATGCGTCTGTTTTCTTTTATCGCAACAACGCAGCGAATACTCTACAAAACGCAACAACGCAGCGTCTGTTGTATTTTATCGCCACATCCCAACGTTTGTTTTCTGTATCGCAACAACAGGTCGGACAGATTCTGCCCCCTCATGACAACCTAAGGCCACCAAGAAGAGGTAGTTACCCGTGACAAGTCATGCCCATGTGAGCGCTCGCGGAGGAGAAGAGGGGGAGAAGAGGGTGAAGGAAGTGGACGGGGTGCTCCAAAACACCGTGAACAACGCTTAACAGGAGGAAGAGAGGGGGGGAGGAGGGCGAGGAGGAGGAGGAGGAGGAGGAGGAGGAGGAGGAGGAGGAGGAGGAGGAGGAGGGCGAGGAGGAGGAGGAGGAGGAGAAAGAGGAGGAGGAGGACGAGGAGAGGAGAGAACAACATTGGGGACTAGCCTCAAAGCGAGAATAGGCTGGTACACCAAAAACCGATACATATATAGAGAAAGAGAGAGAGAAAGAGAGAGGCTCGAGTGGTTAGAAATGCCACCCACCGCGTGCCCAAAAGCTATTTTCACGCCCCCGCAAGGATACGCACAGAACGCGGCAGGACCGTGTCCCACGCAGGAGCCACAGCTGCCGAAAGCGCAAACGGGGCACACTGTGGGAAGGCCGTTTCTGGGGGCGTTCGGAAAGCGGCTGATGGCGTAAAACCACACTCCGTCCTTCTCGGAGGCGTGCAAAGAAGGGCAAAGAACATCGTCGAGCGTCTGCGGCGCACGAGCGCCTCCGCCACGCAGGCGAGTAATTACAAAGGAGGGCGCCCGCACCGCGCCGCAGCACGCCAGGTGCTCGATGGAGACCTGCTGGGCCCCACAGCGGAAGGAGCGAGGGCCGCGCTGTTGACAGCGATGCCAGGTGCACCGGCCATTCGTCAGTGCGAACGCACGCGGCCTGCACCCGAGAAATTGAGCGGCGGGCAAAGACGTCCAAGACCTTCAGCGCTCTGCGAAAACCGCCGGCCGGGGAGGACGTCCAGCCGCCATCCGTCCAGCTGCCGGCGGAAGTGCCGCATGGCCTCTCCCCTGCAACCGACCGCCAGCAATTCCGTCATCTGGCCCCGCCATCCCGCCTGCGAACTGATCCACGAGTCCACGCTGGCGATGCGCCGCAGCAGCGCGCAGGCGCGAGCAGAAGCTTGGAACAAGATGTGGAGGAACGAATCGTGCACCATCTGCGTCACCCAGGAGCTTCGAGCCAGGGAGCAATGAGCCGGTGGTGGTTGTCCAATCGACGGCCGCGGTGTGTAATTTGCAGACCACCCATGGATCCCGCCTCGAATCGATGGACCCGGGCTTCAGCGGCCATTGCCACAGCAGACATGTCCACCAGCTGGTCCGGGCAGCTAGAGCTGGACCTAGGACATAATAACATCCTTTAAGTACACGAGACCCTTCGCGGGACAAAACACCCAAACCATACGATCACTCGAGGGTGCCCTCTCCGGGGATGCACAAAAGAACATCCAACAACCACGAAGAACATTAGTGTTGCCTTCCAGAGCCGACCTCGATCTCATACCTCGGTCCGGCCGTACCAATGGATGGCGGTCCATTTTCAGACTGGGGCTCTCGTTTGGGGCCTGCGCGAGCAGATGTCGCAACGCTGCAGTGGTGGAGGGCGGTTCATTTCCAAATGTGGCCTCTCACCTAGGACCTCGTGTACAGCAGCTGCACGGGATGAGGGCGTTCATTTTCAACACAAGGTTCTTGCTGAACGTTTGCAAAGCAGGGCCCGGGCCAAACCGTGCTTTTCGTTATCGTGCTGTTTTCGTGTTCCCTCGTTCTCTCTTCGTTGCGCCTCTGCTGCGAACCGAGATCGAAACGAGTACGGTCCACGAGATCGCCAAAACACCGTTTGGCTCGAGCCCTGCTGCTGAGCGTTACGTATGGCGTGACCTCTTCGAGCTCGCTGCGGGTCGGCCAGGTGCAGGGCGGCCCCGTGCCATATAATATAGCGGAGCTCTCGCCGGGACGGCAGGCCCCTGGGAGGATCGCCGTTCGCAGGGCCGAGCGCTTCCTGCACCGAGAGAAGAAACCGTCAGTTCCCCAACGAGCAAAACGGTGGTGCCCACCTCCTTCTCCTCCTCCTCCTCCTCCTCCTCCTCCTCCCCCTCCTCCTCCTCCTCCTCCTCCTGCCCCTCCTCCTCCTCCCCCTCCTCCTCACAACAGGCCTGGAACCACATGGGGGCCAACCTGTCGAGCCACCGCGCGAGACCGTGGCCAACGCGTAAGGAAAAAAGAAACGAGCGTAGCCACGGCAACGCAACAGAACTGGCAAACGCACGTGGCCGAGAGACGGAAGCCACATCTTCCGTGCCCAGGCGCCGTGGGTCGAAAGATACGCACGCACGCCACAGAGAACCCACGAGGAAGAGGAGAAGGATGAGGAGGATGAGGAGGAAGAGGCCGAGGAAGAAAGCGGAAATCCCGCGTCGTGCGGCGGGGGAGGCGGGGAGAGGCACAACCTAACAGCAGCCCAAACAATCGCGCAACCATGTGGCAGCTCGTGGCCATATCGGGATCCGTCAACGAACAAGTCTCCCGTGAGCTGCTCACAGTTGCCGACATAGAATTGCTCAGGCGCAGGCTGGGGCAGGACAGGAACACGATCGAAAAACAACACCACCCTGCTGCCGAGCAGCTCGGTAGGCTCCACGGGAATTTCAGGCGGCACCCTGCGAACCGAAGCTGGCGGCACGACCTCCGCCGACACAAGGCCATCGCAAACCAGGCGCCTGTGAAAAGGGGACCCCGTGGCTTTAAGACAGACCTTGCACTGCGGACCGCAACGAGCTTGGCCACATGCATCCACTGCCAGGTCCACTGACTGCCTATCACCACGGATCGTAAATAGGCTCCCTCGTCGGGCATGAGTGGGGAGTGCCGCGAGAGCAAAGACAGGGTGGGTTCGATCAAAGCCCCCTTCTGAAGCTACGGAAGCTTCAAAGCCTTGGCCACACAACTCCATTGCCAGATCTCGCTTGCACGATCAGCTAATGTGCGCAGCCCATGCAGGCACCAGGCCCCGCGAAGCAGCGTCGTGTCGATGTTGTTGCCCTCTTGGGCTTCGCCCGAGCGTTTCGGCGGGGGATGGCGGCGGGGGAGCACATGGGAAGGGCGGGGGCCGCGCTGGCGGCGCTCGACAACGAACGCCTCTCCCGCCACGAGCTGCTGCAAGCTCGTCGGCGGCGACAGGAGGCGCGCACCCTGCCGCCCACCCTCCACTGCCTGCCCCTCCTCCTCCTCAGCCTGAGCGTGCCGAGCGCGTGCATGTTGTCAGCGCACAGCACAAGCTGAGGAGGTGGGTGGCATGTGGGAAATTGGTCAACGGCATCGTTCGTGCCAAGTGCGGTGCTCTTGCCACTACCCAGATCTGCAAATTGTCTTGAGACTACTCCCAGCCCTTATCCTGGGGCAAGAGGGTGCTTCTGGGCTAGACCGAGGCAACGTCGTGTATAGGGGCAAGTGGTTGCATGTGGAGATGCAGCCCTCTGAGTCTCCTAAGCTGTCCACCAATTCCGTGAGCTCGCAGGCGAGATGATCGCGAGCTGGGGTTTGTGAAGTTTCTTGGGGTACGGCACTAACCCAGTTGCTGTGCTGTCATGTGTGTCGCAGGAGGAGGAGGAGGAGGAGGAGGAGAATGGGGGAGAAGGGAGAAAGGACGAACGTGTTGTGTGGGCATCACTGGTGGCTCTGCCAGCCATTTACATAATCACAAAAGGGGGCGCAACGGAAGAGAAGAGAAGAGAGTATCGAGAAACCCGTGCGTGCGCAGACTAGACTTCAGCCGGCGTTCGCACGGGGTCCCACACGAGCGGGCAAGAAGGCAAACCATGTGAGTGCAAGGTCATAAGGGCCTTGGGACTTGGGACAAGAGGGCGCATGGCAACATCGTTGACGCATCCTGGGTTTACTATGGTGATCCTCTCCTCTCCTCTCCTCTTCTCTTCTCTCCTCTTCCCTTCTCTTCTCTTCTCTTCTCTCCTCTTCTAGTTCTTCTCGTCTCATCTCATCCCATATAATACAATATATGTTCTTCTCTTCTCTTTTCTTCTCTTCTCTTCGCTGAATAGGACGTTGGGTTTAGCGCCTCGGGCAGAGGCGGGATGAGGCACCCATCCCCAAGAGGGGGCCCCAACCTGGCCATACGGGGCTCGTCGCGCAAATTGGCGACACTGTCCTCCTTCTCTTCCTCCTCTTCTTCGTTCTCTTCCCTTCCATCTCCTCCCCTCCTCCCCTCCTCCCGTCATTCTTCACATGCCTCTTCTCAGAAGGCTCCTCCTCGTGCCTCGAGCTCCACCTGCTCATCATCCTCATCTTTCCCCTCCTCCACCACAATCCTTCTTTGCCTTCCTGTCCTCCCTCTTCCCACCCCTTCCCCCTCCTGCTCCCCCCCTGCCACCCACCCCCTCATAGGCTCCTCATTCCCTGCCTACCTCTCTCCTCCGCATCTTGCCTCCCTCCCTTCTCCTCTCGCCTCCCGCCTGCTCTTGCGCCACTCCTCCTCCTTCTCTTCTTCCCTCCCCTCTTCTCTCTTCTGCTCCCTCCCCCTCTTCCTACCCCAGAGCCCCACGGCTCCTCCGCCAGCGTCATGGAGATGCCGTAGGAGTCCTGGCAGAGTGGTGGCGGCAGGGTGCAGGAATGGGGAGGATGAATGGGGGAGGAGGAGGAGGAGGAGGAGGAGGAGGAGGAGGAGGAGGAGGAGGAGGAGGAAGAGCAGAGGGAGCAGGAGGAAGAGGAAGAACAGATGAGGACGACGACGACGAGGGCCAGTGGTGGGGGGGAAGGGAGGAGGGGTGGTGGTGGTGGTGGTGGAGGACGGGAGCAGAGCAGGAGGCGAGGACGAGGCCTGCACCCCGGGGGACGGCCTTAACGGGGGCTGGGCGGCGGCGCCAGGGCGCCGTGCTGGCAGCACCCGGACGCTGGCGAACGCAAGCTGGCCGAGGCAGTCGATGCCCAACGGTCTTCTGTCGCTGTGGTGCGTCCCGTGCGAGGCTCGTCATGCTGCTGCTGATGATGCGGATGGTGGTGATGGTGACGATGCTGACTGAGATGACCGTCGTTGACCTCCCTCCTCCTCCTCCTCCTCCTCCCCCTCCCTCCTCCTGCCCTCCTCCTCCTCCCCCCTCCTCCTCCTCCTCCTACCTCCTCCTCCTCTCCTCCTCTCCTCCTCCTCCTCCTCTCTCCTCCTCCTCCTCCTCCTCCTCCTCCTCCTCCTCCTCCTCCTCCTCCTCCTCCTCCTCCTCCTCCTCCTCCTCCTCCTCCTTCTCCTCCTCCATCCTTCCTCCTCCTCCTCCTCCTCCTCCTCCTCCTCCTCCTCCTCCTCCTCCTCCTCCTCCTCCAGGGCGGAGGCTCCTCGTTTTGCTCTCGTTGCTCCTCGTTCTGTCCTGAATCCGCCCCTGCTGCAAAAAACGGCAGCGAAACGAACACTCGGCCCACGACATCGCCAAACACATCGCTTTTAGGTCCACTCCTGCCCCGAGCCTCCCGGAGAGGGCTCCTCTTCGAGGTTGGCGGTGGTGCTGAGGAGGTCCTGCGAGGACACGGCCACCTGGCTGCGCTGGCGGCCTCCTCCTCGCTCGGACTCGCCGCCCTCCTCGATCCTGCCCCCCGCGTCCGCTTGCTCCTCGTGCTCCTCCTCCCCCCCCCTCCTCCTGTGTTTTCTCGTCGTCCTCCTGCTGCTGCTGCTGCTGCTCCTCCTCCTCCTCCTCCTCCTCCTTCTTCTTCTTCTTCTTCTTCGTCTTCCCGTCTCCCCCTTCTCCGCCTCGCCCTGCTCCTCGTCCTCGTCCTCGTCGTCTTCTTCTGCTTCCGCTTCCTCCTCCCGCTCCTCCTCCGTCCTGCCCCCCCCGCTCCCCCTCCTCCCGCTCCCGAAGGCCGTCACTGCCGTCGCCCTCCTTCTCCTCCCTCTCCTCCTCGTCGTCCTCGTCCTCGACCTCCTGGCTCTCCACCAGCTCCTCCCGCCCCCTCCTCTCCCCTATCCCCTGCCCGTCCCTCGTCGTCGGCCAGGCACCGCAGCCCACGGACATCGTCCGTAGACGACAATTCCACCCCCCCTCCCTGGACAGTGCTTTTGGTTGTTCCTTGCCCCTTGGGCCTGGGGTGTCTCGTGCGTTCAGATTTCGCTCAACCTCCGAGGTGTCGCCTTTGCCTCGCTGCTGCCAGGTTTTCATCGCGCCGTTTTCCATCGCTGCCGCGCTGCGCTTCTTGACTCCTGGTCTCTGGGCCCCAGCCCCTGGCAACAAGAGCGCAGAAAGCATCGCAAATGAAGCGACACGTGATCAACGCTTGAGCACGAACGAGGACACGATGGTCCAGTGCCCCAGTGCCGAATTTATGGTTAGGTCAGGCATGTTCTCCTACAGACGGATTTTGGACGACAAATTCAATATAGTCAAAGCAACCATACATAATCAAAAGAGCACGAACAATAGTCACTGTACTGTGCTTGACCTACTCTTGGGTATCCCTCCTGTAGGGGGACACGCCCGACTTACTCAAATGTGCGTCCGCACTGCCTCGCAGTGCCATGCCACGCCTGCTGCGGGCTTGCCCCCGGGCGCCCGGGATGCCCGCACGGGCCCCGCGTGCCAGAGGTGCTCCCAGTGCCCCCGCTTGTTGAGGGGGGTTGGGATCCAGACCACCTCCCGCCCCGACGCTTGGGTGGCTCCCCAAGACGGTGCAGCAGTGGACCCAGGCTTGGGGCGCCGCCAAGGCAGCCACGTGCTGCCCCGAGGCGGCCGGATAGGACCCATAGATCAACTGACTTCGACTGGGGAGCGGCGCGGGCCCACGCCGCGGTCGGAGGCGGCCGAGGGGGCACCGCGGGGGGGCGACTGGGGCACAGCGCGCGAGGGAGGGAAGCCGCGGGCGGGGGGGGGAGGGAGGCCGCGTGCGGCGGAGAGCGCGCTCCGAGGATGCAGCTCGAGCACGGGCCTGTGAGGATGAGGCAGGCGGCCCCCGCCATCGCTCGACGCAGTCCATCTGGAGAGGGGTAGCGATGGGCGCGGCCAACCTCGAGGCTATTCCATGAGTCCACGAGGAGAAGTGATCGCCTCAAAAGGAGAAGTGATGGCAACATCGCCGGCCGCATGCTTAGTTCTCCCTGGAAACCACCGGAGATGGGGTCGGCGCACCTCCATGGGAAGTGTGCGGACATCGACCCCGAATCTCTGAGGGGAGATGGGGAGATGGATGAGGCGAACATCTCTCCGTTCTCGCCACGGAGAAAAAGGTGACGGCTCGTCCATCCCCCTTGAGAGGGACCGTGATTGAACGGACACGTGTCTACTAGTCTCTTAAGAGGAGAATCGCGGCGTGGCCAACCGTACACACTGCTGCCGCAAGGACACAGTGCCCACGACACCCCATAACGCCAGAGCGCAACCGATATCCATCGTGTAGGAACTTTGGGTGATGTGGACATCATTTAGCTATGGGCATGGCGGTGCACTGTGATGTGCCGCGGGCACTGTGTGGCGCTGTGCGCATAGTGCGGCCCGTGGACACCAGGTGCACTGTGGGACACGGTCGGGCACTGTGCCTGGTGCCGGGGCCGTAGTACTCTTAGTCCAGTCTCCGAAGGCCCCTGAGGCTGGAACCAGAAACGAGCATCCCGAGCCCCAAACTCGAAACTTTGCCGTTTCGTTTCGATTTCAGGATTCTGCGGGTTTTGATTCCGTACGCTGTGCCACGGCGGGGTGTTCGAGAACGCCCTGGTGCTCCCGAAGGCTCTCGACGAAGCGCGGCTGTACCCACCAAAGACAGACACACATACATACACACGGACAGGCAGACACACAGACGCACAGACACACAGACACTCAGACACACAGACACTCAGACACACAGAAGACACACAGACACGCAGACACGTAGACACGTAGACGCAGACGCACACACATAAACACATAGGCACACATAGCACACATAAACATAACATGCACATACAACACACAACACACAAATCACACAACACACGCAACACACAAAACGCACACCACGCAACACGCACACACACACGACACACACACACACATACCACACCACACCCCCCACACATACGCACACACAACACATAACACACAGACACGCACACACACGAAACATTCACACACCACAAAACACACACACACCACACAACACACAACACACATACAATACACAGCACACAACACTGATGCGCATACACGCGCACACACAGACAGAACACGCAGGACACAGACACACAACAAACATTACACGTCACACACAACACAACACACACAAACACAAGCACACACAACCACACGCACACACACTCACACACACACCGACACACAGACACACACACACAACTATAAACACTCAAACGTACGTACACACCTAACACACAACACACCCGAACACACACGCACATACACAACCAACGACACACACACACACACACACGCACACACACACACAAACGCACACACTCGGACCCCACCACACACAAACAACCAAACACACACGTTCACAACCACACAATACACGCACAACCACACAACAACACCAGCACACAAGCACACACGCACAACAAAGGGAGGCCTGGGGCGGACTGGGAGGGAGAGTGGGCGGGGTGCCGCCCGGGTGGGGGGGGGGGGCGGCGGGGGCGTGGCGGCGCACGCTGGCGGTGTCGTTGCACTTCCACAGGCCCGTCGCCGGGTCCTGCCCGCTGCACAGGGTCAGGCCTGGAGCCTGGGCGCGCCCCTGTGCCCCTATCTGCCCTCCTCTCTTGCTCCTCTCCTCCTCCTCTCTCCTCCTCTCTCCTCCTCCTCCTCCTCCTCCTCCTCCTCCTCCTCCTCCTCCTCCTCCTCCTCCTCCTCCTCCTCCTGCTCCTACTCCTGCTCCTCCTCTTGCTCCTGCTCCTCCTCCTGCTCCTCCCTCCTCCTCCTCCTCCTCCTCTTCCTCCACCTCCTCCTCCTCCTCCTCCTGCTCCTCCTCGTTCTCCTCCGCCTCCTCCTCCTCCTGCTCCTCCCTCCCTTCCCTCCTCCTGCTCCTGCTCTCCTGCTCCTTCTCCTCTCTCCTCCTCCTCCTCCTCCTCCTCCTCCTCCTCCTCCTCCTCCTCCTCCTCCTCCTCCCCTCCCTCCTGCTCCCCGCCGTTTGCTCATACATTCGCCTCCGGCTCCCGCTGCAGCTCTTGCCCCCCTGCTTGTGTTTTTTGCTTGCCGCGGTCGTTGCGCCGCAGGCGGTGCTGGTATGCTGCTTGATGATGCTGCTGCTGCAGCTGCTGCTGCTTTTCCTCCACTTCCTCCTGCGTCGTCCTGCGTCTTCCTCCTCCTCCTCCTCCTCCTCCTCCTCTCCTCCATCTCTGTTCGTCCAGGCTGCTGGCCGATGCCGACACCCCCAGAAGCGGCCTTAAACCAACCTTCCTCCGCCCTCTGCCACTCACTCCCTACCTCGATATTCCCGTCCCTCAGTCCATCCGCACTTCCTCCTAGTCCGTGCGGGGAAGAGAAGGAAAGAGAGGGAGAGAGAGAAATAAAGAGAGATATGTAGAGAAGGAAGAGAGAGAGAGAAAGAGAGAGAGAGAGAAAGAGAGAAGGAGAAAGGAGGTGAACGGGAGAAAGGACAATCCATATAACTCTACGCAATGTGCCGCGCGACCCAACTTGGAGGAGCACATCCCAAGTCAGTGGCTGAGCAGGGCAGGCATTTCGCTCTGCGTTGCCCTGCTCCTTCCCAACCGTGCCGTGGTGCTGGGCCCTCGCTTTGAAGAGACAGCGCCCCGCGTCTCCCACCTCCACCTCCCCCTCCCCCTCCCTCCCTCCCTCCCTCCCTACCGCCTCCCCTCCCTCCCTCCCTGCCTCCGCCCTCCCCTCCCTGCCTCCTCTCCCTCTTCGCTCCCCGCCCCGCCTCCTCCCCCTCCCCCCCTCCCGACCTCTCTCCGGCCCTGCCCCTGCCCCCCCCGCGCGTCCGCGGGATGAGACCCGCACGCCGGGGCCCGCACGCCAGGGCCCGCGCATGCAAGGGGCCCGCGCGGCGCCGCCGCCTCGTGTCGGCACGTCCCTCACGCGTCTTGTGGCCCCACAGGGAGCCCCATTTTTTTTTTTTTTTTTTTTTTTTTGTTTTTTGTTTTTGGGTTTTTTTTTTTTTTGGGGGGGGGGGGGGGGGGGGCAGGGAGCTCCCTGCCCCACAGGGAGCTCCAACCAGGGCTCACGTGCCAGGGCCCGCACGGCGCCGCCGCCTCACTGCGGCACAGCCCTCACGCGCCTCGTGGCCCCTCTAACCAAGGAGCTCAAGCGAAGGCCCCAGCGGCAGGGCCCGCATGGCGCCGCCGCCTCACTTCGGCACACCCCTCACACGCTTCGTGGTCCCATCGGGAGCTCCACCCAAGGCCCAAATGGGGCCGCCCGCAGGCGTCCCCGCCACCCATTCTGGCACACCCCTCACACGTTTCGTGGCCCCATAGGGAGCTCCACCCAATGCCGAAATGGTGCCGCCGCGTGCGTCCCCGCCACCATGTCGGCACACCCCTCACACGCATCGTGGCCCCACAAGGAGCTCCACCGAGGGCACAGATGCCAGGGTCCACATGGCGCCGCCACCTCATGCCGGTATACCCCTCACACACTTCGTCGCTCCAAGCGCCATAGGGAGCCCGACCAGCGGCGCCAGTGCCAGCGCCTGCATGACGGCAGCTCCAACTTTCGGCATACCCCTCACACGCTACTAGGCCCCATCGGACTTTCCCTTCCTTGCCTTGCGGTATTCGCACCTGCTGCATATGGTTGGGTCCGTCGCCAGGATCATCCCATACCAACGCCCCTTTGGGCTCAGGTGGTCTAGCGATATCTGTCTTTCCTCTTCCACACAACCGTTTTCCTTCTGGAAGGTTTACCTCCCCCCTGAGGCTTTTTTGGGGGGTGGATCGCGATCGGTCAGAGCGCCCAAGATGGCGCAAGATGGCACCAAGAGGGCCTCCGGTACTCCAAGATAGCGTCCAATGCGGCTCGAGAACCGACGGTGGTTCAAGGAGGTAGCTTCCGACATGCCTCCAAAGAGGCCGACGAGGCCACAAGACGGTTCCAAGTGCTCTCCGAGCCCCCTCAAAATCCTCCCAGGAGGCCAACATCATTTTAACACCTACGGAACATCAATGACTTCTGCATTCTCGACTTTTCGCTCACGATGCGCTTTTGAGGCCTCTCAAGATGGCCCCAAGATTGGCCAAGAGAGACCCAAGAAGGGTCCAAGAGCCCCCACCAGCGCCCGAGAGCGCGCCAAGAGCGCCCCAAGAAGGCCCCAAGAGGCGACTTCGAGGGCTCTTGGGGGGTGGGGTGGGGTGCGGTGGGGTGGGGGAGGGCGGAGTCGGGTGCGCGAAATCGGGGGATAGCCTCGTGGCCCCACGAGGCCCTCCAGGGCCCCCAAGAGGGCCCAAGCGAGCCCCAAGAGGGCCCCAAGAGCCCCTCAACGAGCCCGAAGAGGACCCCGAGATCTCCCAAAAGAGTCCCAGAGGGCTCCAAGGAGCGAGTGTGAGGGCTCTGTCCTCGTCCTCTTTTTTCTTCCTCCTCCTCCTCCTCCTCCTCCTCCTCCTCTTTCTCCTCCTTCTCTTCCTCCCCCCATCGTCCTTGCCCTCGACCGTCTTCCTTTTCCTGTTGCTCCTCTTCCTCTTCGTTGTGGTCGTCGTCGTCGTCGTCTTCCTCCTCCTCCTTCCCTCGCCCCCACGCGGGCCCCAGGGATGACCCGAAGAGGCCCTCCAAGGTTATTCCACTGTTTCCAGAAATCTCTGTGTTTATCGTGGTTGCCAGCTTTGTTTCACTATATGTGTCTCTTCGTCCCTTTTCCCGTCAACTCTCATCGGCAGGGTTTTTGAATGGGCTGGTGGGGCTACGCGAAGCGTGAATCATATACATTGTGTTGTATTGCTTGGCGCTGCTTGCCGTTGCATTGCATGGCATTGCCTGGCATTGGCTGGCATCGCCTCACACTGCTTGGGATTGCTTGGCATTACCTGGCATTGCCTGGCATTGCCTGGCATGGGTTGGCATCGAGTGGCTTGCTGTCCGCTGCATGCCAACCCCTTACACGGAACGTGCCCCCCCACAGAGAACTCCAACTGCACCCCTAAAGGGGCGCTGGCATGTCGCCCCTTCTCCCAATCCGGCACACCTCTCACATAGATCGTGTCCCATGGGGTGTAGGGATGGAGAGCATGGGAGGTAGGGCAAGGATACGAGAGGGGAGGGGAGGGGAGGGGACGGGAAGGAAGGGCAATAGGGAGGAGAGGAAAGAGGGAGAGAAAGGGAGAAGAGGATGGAGCAAGGCAGAGGAGTGGGACGAGGGGAATGACGGAGTGGCAGGGGAAGGAATGAATGGGGATGGTGTGGAGCCGAGTGGATGGGGAGGCGCGGGGGAGTGGATGGAAGGAGAGCAGGCGCAGAGAGTGAGAAAGAGAAGGGGGGGCACCGGCGAGAGCGCTGGTATGAAGACGCCGGGCGTGTCTGGCTGCTCCAGGCTCTTCAGTATCAGCTCCTGGTCACGCCCTCCCAGAGGGAGGAAAGCGAGCGAGGGAGCGAGGGAGAGGGGAGAGCAAGGAGGAGGGGAGAGGGGCACCGACCTTCCCTTCCACTCCCCCCATCGCCCCCCGCTGCCCCGCTCTCTCCTCCTCCTCCTCCTCCTCCTCCTCCTCCTCCTCCTCCTCCTCCTCCTCCTCCCTCTTCCTCCTCCTCCTCCTCCTCCTCCTCCCCCCCCCAGTCCCACCTTCCGCGCCCCCGCTTCCCGCTGCCCCTCCCCCCCCCCGCTCCCACTCTGCCACCCCCGCCCCCCCTCCCTCGCCTCCTCCTTCCCCCCCGGCCGCGCAAGAGGGGCTCGGCCTCTGCGCCCGTCTTGTGCTCTGCTATCTCCTTCGCTGGCCTTCTGTTAACGGGCGAAGAACGGTATAAAATAAACTTTTCGCTGTCGGGGGCGCCTGTCCCTGGGCGGCTGGAAAGTTTATACCCTTACGGTGGCACCGTAGGGGTATAAACTTTCCAGGGGTATAAACTTTCCAGCTGCCCAGGGACAGGCGCCCCCGACAGCGAAAAAGTTTATTTTATACCGTTCGTCGCTCGCTGATTCTGGAGCCCCCCCCCAGTCGCCATCGCCGGCCGCCTCCAGGGGCAGGCGAAGGCGTTTTCTCTTCAGAGTTTTGGAGGTCGCTGCTTCGCTTGGGTCGGGCCTGTCCCCCCACAGGCAGATGCCCGACGAAACATCACAAATACGCAACACATCTTCAAACATGATCGAAAAATGCACAAAAAAACGCCCCCAGACTAATCTTTTGACCATTCTTGAATTATCCCCCCCGTATAGGGACAGGCCCGACTCAATACTCCAGATTTCGTAATAAAAGGGAGGGGGTCTCATTTCGGGGGGGGGGTCTCTTCCAGGCTGTCTTGGAGGGCCTGGGGGGGTCTGGGGACGATGTTTTGGACGCTTCTCCCACGAGGGGGGGGTCTGAAATGGCTCGCCTTGGAGGGTCCAGACCCCCTCCCATGTATTATAGGGGGAAAACAAACCTACCTCGCTTTTGACCACCCTCGCTTCCAAGAGATACCAAACGATGCCAAATTGCGGCCTGTACTGGTCAGGCCGCTTGACGAGGAGGCGCGTGGTATGGCTTGGTTTTGCCTGGAAGCGAAAGCGGGGCAGGTAATTCACGCTCTGATCGTCTTGGAGGGTCCAGACCTCCTCCCTTTTATTACGAAGTCTGGAGTACTTCGCCACGAACGACACTTCCGCAACCCTCGCCTGCTCCGGCGAGGGGGCCCTTCCTTGGACGCCGCCGCCCCTCGACTCCTCCTCCTCCCTCCTCCTCCTCCTCCTCCTCCCTCCTCCTCCCTCCTCCTCCCTTCTCTCGGTCCAGAGAAGAGTGCTCCCGGCGACGGCCCCGTCTCGAGCGGGGGAGACCGCCCTCCCTCCCCGTGCCCGCTGCGATCGCGGCAGGCAGTGGCCATGCGACCAAATGAGGCCTGAGATGGCGCCTCGAGAGACGTCTACTCCAGATTTCGTAATAAAAGGGAGGGGGTCTGGACCCTCCAAGACAAGCCATTTCAGACCTCCCCCGTGGGAGAACCCTCCAAAACACCGTCCCCAGACCCCCCCAGGCTCTCCAAGATGACGTCTCGAGAGACGTCTACACATCTGGCGAGCACCACGCCGTGCCGCCGTGCAGCGGTCGCAGGTGCTGACGCTGTTGGTCGTGCACTTCGGTGAGGCCTCAACTGGGAATCGTACCTTCAAGAAGAAACGCCCTGCGCCCGCGAATCTGTCGAGCACTTGTAACACGCACTTGTACGGCGTTCGTGGGGGAATACAAATTTGATGAAAATCAGCCACAATCCATCCGTGTACATGTTGGAAGCCTTTAGGACGCGTGTGCGCGGTACGCGGTAACCTCAATATGAACATCGTCCATGCGCCACCCGTGTACGTCATGCAATTCCCGCTTCAAGACAATGAGCGGCAAGGAAGCCCAACCGCTCACTGTCTATGAGGAATAGGGGTGATGATAATCAGGAGGACGAGAACTGAGAAGGATGAGGAGGAGGAGGACGAGGAGGGGCAGGAGAAGCAGGATTAAAGGAGATGCGGAGGCGCAGTCGGGAGGAATGATAGGAAGAGGAGGAAGAGGGGAAGCAAGAAGCGGGGAAGGACAGAGGAAGGAAAAATAACATCAGCCCACATCTCCTGTCCCTCTCCCTCTCCCTCCTCCTCCCCCCTCTTCTTTCCTTCTCACTCTCCCCTCTCCTTACACAGCTGCACCTTTTGAATACTACTTGCTTCTCTGCCATCAGTACGCGCGGTAGGTGTCCCACCCCCTCGGCGCCTTGGATTTCCCAACAATCCTGTGGTGTTGGGTCCTCGTTTTGAAGAGACAGCGCCCCGCGTTCTCTGTCCTCCTTCCTCCCCCTCCTCCCACCCCATGCGCCCCTCACACGGTCCGTGGTCCCATAGGGAGCTCCACCGAAGACCCCAGTGGCAAAATTCGCATGCACTTCTACCCCCATTTCGGCGCACCCCTCACACGGTTCGTGGCCCCGCTCCACCGAAGACCCAGGTGGCAAAATTCGCATTCAGTTCCGCCTCCATGTCGGCGCACCCCTCACACGGTTCGTGGCCCCATAGCGAGCTCCACCGAAGACCCCAGTGGCAAAGTTCGCATGCAGTTCCATCCCCATTTCGGCGCATCCCTCACACGGTTCGTGGCCCCACAGGGAGCTCCACCGAAGGCCCCAGTGGCAAGTTTCGCATGCAGTTCCACCCCGATTTCGACGATGTTCGAGACCGTCAGAAGGGGCCCAAGAAGCCACCGAGACGCCCCGATGAGCCCCAAAGAGGGGTGACACAAGCATCCAAACGCTGCCCACGAGGCCCAGAAAGCTTTGCCCGTGAGAGTTCGTTCCTATGCTGGGGGCCGGCGGAATGGCGGAAGCCTCTTGGGTAACGCGGCCTGCCACGCAGGCCCTGCCACAGAAGCGCGCTGCGTCGCAATGCGGGGAAGGAAAGGGAGGAGCGCGACGACGAGGGCGCCCACGTTGAGGGAAGACGGGGTGCTCCCGCTGCAGCGTGGGCCTCATTTTCGGATCGGCGCTTTGCTCCCGTTGTTCAGAGTGGCGCTGTCGCCCCAGCGCGGGCCCCTTTTCTGGATCCGACCTTTGCTTCATCGTTGTCGCCCCTCTCATTTCGCCTCCTCCGTCTTCCCCTGGTCCTCCTGCTCGACCTACTCATTCCACTCCAGTTGCTGCTGCTGTTCGTCCTCGCCCTCCTCCTTTCTCATCCTCCTCTTTCTCCTCCTGCTCCTGCTCCTGCTCCACCAACTCCTCCTCCTCCTCCTCCTCCTCCTCCTCCTCCTCCTCATTATGTGCGCAGCTCCCCCGTTCCGATTGCGCATAACATGATGGGGTCCTTTTTGGAGTTCCAGGTCGGCTATGGCATGCGTCCGCGGATAGAGAAACATCGACGCAACGGGAAGGGATGGGGGGGAGGGAGAGGGTGTCAAATGTAGCGCGAGCGCGCCTAGCTTGCCCCCCCCCCCGCCCTCATTCCTCCCCCCCTTCCCGAACTCCCGCCGCGGAAGTCCTCGCCCGGCAGCATGTCCACCGAGGACGTGAAGGTGAGCTCCGCGCGCACCAGGTGGCTCGTCTGCGCCGGGATCATCGGCAGGACCTCGGGCCGGGGCGGGGCTCCAGCGGAACCCCGGGGGGGGGAGAAGCGGGCGGGGAGGAGGTGGCGGGCGGCAACGGAGCAGGGGGAAAGAGCAGCCAGGGGGCAGCCGGGGAAGACGAGTGGGAGGTGGAGGGGGCCCAGATCTCCTGGCGTCGTGGGACTCCTAGCTGGTGGCCTTTGGCAATTCTCGCCCTCCCGGGGGGCTCTGACTGTCGGGTGAGCCTGAATGGGGAGTCTCGGTGGACCTCCGCGGCCCTAGCATACACGCGATCTCGCCCGGATTTCATGCAGATTTCGACCACCCCTCGTAAGCCTTTCGTCTAGATTTCGTCCATCTGTCGACCGTGTCCGGCGAACTCCGGACGTCATCCTCCACACCGCAAGGGCTTTGGGGACCCTCTCTGGGATGACCGTGGGGGTTACTAAGTGGATAGGGGGGTTACAAGTGGATGCCAAGGTGCGTTATATCTGGCCCAACCTGGCTTATAAGTGGGTCACAAAGCCAGATTGGGCCAGATATAACCCACCTTGGCACCCACTTGTAACCCCCCTATCCACTTAGGAACCCCCACGGTCATCCCAGCTGAGGCTCCCATGAAAAAGACAATACAATGACTGAGCCCCACGGTCTGTCAAGAAACGAGGCGAGGCGAGGCGAAGCGCCAGTCAGTCGTCCCGGCGGGGACGGCCCTACGAGAGCCCGGCGGTGGCGCCGGAGCGCCGAGAAAGAACCTTAGTCGAGGGGGAAGGAACCCTGACCTTCCAGGAGGGCCAAGCGACTTAAAAACCTATCCCAGAGCTATTCAACGTCTTGATTTTAGGCTGTTTCGTTTAGTTTTTTAGGTTTTGAGGCCTCCCGTGCTAAAAAATAGCTCTCTGGAAGGTCAGGGAAGGAGGAGGAGGACGGACTCCTCAGACCGTGAAGTGGGAGTTTCGCGCGCAATCCCCACAAGTGACAGAAGCCAGAAATTTCGGCTCCAACGCCGAGCATGCTTTCTTGTCCGTCGCAATGTGTATCCACCTTTTGTGGTCGTCGTCTCCCTCGTGTGTAGTGACTGTGCGTACGAATTGTGTGATTTCGGCATCCCATCTTTTCCGTTGTCCTCCGTGGCGTCGTAGGATTTGGCGTGGGTCGTGGGTGTTCGGGGTCCACTGTAGTGAGAGCCGCGTCCATCTGTCGTAGTCGTGGGTTGCGACGCGCGATGCCCATTCCCACTTCCGTGTGAAGTATACCGTAGGCCAGTCCTCTACTATCAAGAAACGACTCAGGATGAAGAACCAGTCCTCGGGAATACATCCCCAGGCCGAAAGTTTTTTCCTCTTGGACTAAAAATATGAGAACACCAACGGATCCAATTTGATCCCTTTTCGCGTGTGGGCGAGTTTCGTGGATCCTATTTCTGTGTTGCGCGGATCCAATTTCCTGCGTGTGAAAAAACGATGGATCCATTTATTTCCTGGGAATGAATACATAATAATAATTAACATCCGGGACCCAGGGGAAATGGGATCCGCGGAGCACCGCAAGCGAAACATCATGCTATCCACGGAACTGTGGATCTGCAGACCAATGCTATGATTCTGCGGGGGAGGGGGGTCTTCCCAGGATGAAGAGGGGAAGGATGGGGGAAGAGGCAAGCGGAGGTGGGAGGAGAACAGAGGGGATCGGCGCGTCGCTTCCGACATGTGTGAAGGGGCCCCAGGACACACAAATAAATACACACAAATAAACAGATTCCCCATATTTTCCCATATTTTCTGGGTTTCTGTCTTCCCCCCCACTTCCCATATTTTCCCATATTTTCTTGGGAATCGAGGATTAATTGTGTCTGTGTGTTTTTTCCCCTCCTGAAATCTTTCGGCCTGCGGACGTAGGTCCAGACCTCTGGGGAGCCACGGTGCGCACAGAGCCGCGGCGCTCTGGGTGTCCAGGGAGAAGGTGCCGGCGGCCCAGCCCGAGGGGGACGGGGAGGATGACGGGAAGGATCGGCGCCAAGATCGCGCGCTCGCGCGAGGGGCATCATATGCATCAGCTCCATCATGAGTTGATGGGGGGGGAGGAGAGGGAGGAGCCCACAAAGGACGTACGCGCGTGATACGAATATTCGCGCAATGCGAAATCTCGAAAACAGCGTGGATTCATGTACGTGTACGTCCTTCTTTCGCTCCTGAAGAGAGGGAGGAGCCGGGTGAGGAGGAGGAGGCGGAGAGGGAGGAGGGCCACCAGTCGGCCGATGGGTGCAGCCGCGGACGGGAGCACTGGCCATCGTGTGGGCCGAGCTCGCCATACCTAGGCAAGGTGAGGGGCATGGCGTTCTTAGGATGTTTACCGTTATGAACGACGGATGCGTTGTAGCGTTGCCTGGCTCTCGCAATCACCTCTCGGGGGCATCTTTGTTTCGCCCTGGATTTGCGACGGCCCCCGGAGCGCCAAAAACGGCCTCCAAACGCCGAAAATGTCTGGCAAACCTCCGTGCTGACCCTCCGTCCTGAGCCCGAGCATGCTCCCCCGCCCCAGGCCGCTGCTTTGGCACGGACGCTCCGAAGACCCGAGCTGGGCGGCGCGCCCAGCCGGGAAGGCAGGTGGGAGGCTCAGAAGGCCTCTGGCCTCAGGAACTCCCTGAGCCCTCTCTCCGCAAACCCAGGGTCAGCGCCCCTCAAACGGGGACTCCACAAACGGGTACTTTGGCCAGTGACCCAGCGAACCCAACCCTTCCCGATGTGGGCAAAGCTGCAATGCAAGAAAAAGGCCCTAAAGTGGCAACTTTCGGCAACATTTCAAAGTACCCGTTAGTAAGTACCCGTTACGGTGCCGTTGACAGGGGGGCTTCTCAGAAGGCCGGAAGGCCTCCGAGAAGCCCCGCCGCCGTATGAGGAGGCTTGCCCCCTCTCGCCTCCCCCCCCCGCGCGCCGCCGAAGCTGATCTTCGGGACGTCGCTCGGACCTCCGGCGGCCGTTCGGGATGGTCGGGGCACCCCCCGCAGGCTCTCGGCGAGGCGCAGCTGCTGGAACGCGTCCCGACGCTGGAACACCGCCGAACACCGACGAAGTCGTCCGAAAACCTCCTGCTGAGGAGGAGGAGGAGGAGGAGGAGGAGGAGGAGGAGGAGGAGGAGGAGGAGGAGGAGGAGGAGGGAGGAGGAGGAGGAGGAGGAGGAGGGGGAGGGGGGAAGGGGGAGGGGGAGGGGGAGGGGGGAGGAGGAGGAGGAGGAGGAGGAGGATGGGAACCCTCTGAGCCGTCTCCCCCGCGCAGGCGCGCCGCCGAGAGGAGAGGCCTCCGCCTCGGGAACCTTCCCACTGCCGCGCGGGAGGCGCCCCCCGACGAGCGCCCGGCGGGGTCGACGGCGCCGTTCTCCCCGATCTCGACGACCTGCCGCGGCGGCGCTGCCATGGGACGCACAAAGACGTACTAGTACTATATGTTCTCCTTGGAGGCGCGCGTCCGACCCAAACATATAGTATACCCATCTTGTAGTGCATCGTTTCCCGAGCGGTGTGGCCAGAAAGCGCCCGCCACGACGCATATACTATAAGATTTCTCGGTGCGCGCATCGCCCCCGGGGAGCGACGCACATATAGTAGAAGTATGCTGGGGTGACGCCGATGCCAGGTCAGAGGGGGGGAGGGGGAGACGCGCTTCGGATCGTAAGGTTCGACCAGGGGCAAATGCCGATACTGCTGCCCTTGCCCCGTCGCCCCTGTTGGATTCGGCTCGACATGCTGGTCAGAGCGCACCTCTGGAGAGGTATGGGGAGCAGATGGTCAGTTCTTGCACCCCGAATCTCCGACGATATGTATGTTTTCAGTCTTGGCGTTTTTTCCTCGATTCCAGCCTCCGGGACCCGTGCTCGGGCCCGGGGCCATCAAATTGAGCAGTGACCGACCGTCCCGGCATTCCTATAGTCCTACCACGAAATGTTCTTAGAACCTCAAAATGTTCTAATAACAAAAACAACGTCCAGAGAACGTAAACCCGATGTGTTACAACAAGACAGACTCCGCCAGAAATGTTCTAAGAACATGTCGTGGAAACCACACAAGGTTCTTATAAAATTGTTTGGTGGGGCTATAGGCGAGCCAGGACGCTTCGCCACTGCTCGAATCAAAAACGGATCCAGGACGCAAAGCTACCCCCAGGGGTCGGGAGCCCTGGGGCGGGACGTCGAACGTCGGTGTCGGTCGTCAGTCGTCGGTCGTCCGCCGCCACCGGCGCCGCCGCCGCCGCCGCCGTCGTCGTCGTCGTCGTCGTCGTCGTCGTCGTCGTCGTCGTCGTCGGTCGTCGGTCGTCCGTCGTCGGTCGTCGGTTGTCGTGGTCGCCTCCTGGCTGCTGAGCTGCTGGTCCAGGACGCTGAGCTCGCCTGCGGCGCGTCTCTCTATTTTTTTTGTTTTGTCTCTCTCTCTCTCTCTTGCTCGCCTCTCTGTCCCACTCTCCTTCTCACTGTCTCTCTGTCTCTCTCTCTCTCACGCACTTTCGCTCTCTATCTCTCTATGTGTATGTAGGTATATCTATGTATATATGTGTATAGTTATCGTCAGCCAGCGCGAGCCTCTACACACATTGATTATAGCCATCTATGTTGCGCAATCGGTGTTGTGTAATATATGTGATGCAATGTCTGTGGTGTAACTAGTTTGGGACACTCCATGGTGTGCAACACATGTAGAGCAATATGCGTGGTGCAATCTATGTGGTGCAATTAATTTCTGTTCGCAATGAGTTGTCCACTCCACTGCTCGCGCAAACATCCCACCGACCCACCCGCAACTTGGTTTGCAAAATCTCTTAAGACCGTGACGGTGGGTACCACATGGCACTTGGTAACAGCAGCGACGCCGACGACGACAGCGACAACGACGATGACGACGCCGCCGACAACGACTACGACGACACCGACGACGTCTCCAACGACTTCGACGACGCCGACAACGACGACGACGACGACACCGACGACGACGACGACGACGACACCGACGCCGACGACGACGACGATGACAACGACGACGACGATGACGACGCCGACGACGACGATAACGACGACACCGACGACGACGACGACGTCAACGACGCCGACGACGACGACGACGACGGCGGCGACGACGACGCCGACGTCGACGACGACGAAGACGACAACGACGCCGACGCCGACGACGACGACGAAGACGACGACGTCGCCAACGAAGACAACGAGGAAGGAGGGAGGACGACGACGGCGACAACGACGACAACGACGAGGGAGGAGGAGGACGGCGACGACGCGAACGACGAAGAAGGAGGAAGGACGGCGACGCCGACGACGGCAACGACGAGGGAGGAGGGAAGACGACGACGACGACGACGACGACGACGACGACGGCGACGAAATAGGAGGGACGACGACGAGACGCCGACGACGGACGACGACGACGACGAGGGAGGAGGAGGAAGGACGACCACGGCGACAACGACGACGGAAACGACCACGACGCCAAAGAGGACGACGACGACGAACACGAGGAAAGACAGAGGACGACGCAGGCGACGACGACGACGACAACGACGCGGGAGGAGGGAGGACGGCGACGACGACGACGACGCAAGAGCGCGCGCGCACGCTTTTGTTGAACATCCGTGTTGCGAAACCTTGTGTTTTTGTAAGTTGTTTGGACACACGATTTTGAAATCCTTCCGAAACCGATGGGTTTTGAAGGTTTTCGGCATACGCGCGCGACGACGCGCGCGTCTGCACTTCGTCCCCGTTTTTTGCAGGGGGTTCTCGCGACGGCACACGCGCAACGGCGTTCGACAGATTTCGACATGAGCGCGCGCGAAGCCAGTTTGGTAGCCTTTTTGTGAAAATCTTGAAAAACCTATTGTTTCTTAAGATTTCGCAAGAGCTTTCGCGGAAGTTTGTCTAGCAACTGTGTGTTGCGAAACCTTGTTTTTCCCAACCCTCCTTGGTTGGGTATTCGTTTTGAATAGAGCAGTGTGGTCGCGTCCTTCCTCCTCCCGCCTCCCGCCTCTTTCCTGCCTCTTTCTGTCTTGCCTGCGGGGGGCTGCGATTCTGTCGCCAGTTTCGAGGCCTGCTGGGGGGTCCAGCATAGAGGGTAATCGCGGCAGATCCAAATTAGACCTCGCCATTCCTGGGGGGCTGCGATCTGTGAAACTGTCGCCACTTTCGAGGGCTGCTGGGGGGTCCAGCATAGAGGGTAACCGCGGCAGATTCAAATTAGACCTCGCCATCCCTGGGGGGGGGGGGCTGCGATCTGTGAAACTGTCGCCACTTTCGAGGGCTGCTGGGGGGTCCAGCATAGAGGGTAATCGCGGCAAATCCAAATTAGACCTCGCCCTCCCTAGGGGGCTGCGATCTGTGAAACTGTCGCCACTTTCGAGGCCTGCTGGGGGGCCCAGCACAGTGAGGGCCACGCGCGGATTCAAATTAGACCTCGCCATCCCTGGGGGGCTGCGATCTGCGAAACTGCCGCCATTTTCGAGGCCTGCTGGGGGGCCCAGCACAGTGAGGGCCACTGGCAGATTCAAATGAGACCTCGCCGTCCCTGCGGGGCTGCGATCTGTGAACCTGTCGCCACTTTCGAGGCCTGCTGTGATCCCCGTTTTCGAAGTGGCTAGGAGTGCTCAGGAATTGTAAATCATCAGCTTTATCAAGCCCTTTTCCTGTAGCCAGTGTCCTGCGAGTCTCCCGAATTCCGTCTGCAGACATATGTAACCCTCGCTCCGTCATCGCCCCCTTATAAAGTATCCTAAACTATTTGCGCCCCGCTTTTGCGCAGGGGTTGGGTACGTCGCCAGGGTAATTTTGGGAAGCTCGATTGCGAAATCCTTCCCGCACCGAAGGTTTTTGAAGGATTTCGGCATGCGCGCGAGACGACGCGCGCGTGTGCACTTCGTCTCATTTGTTGCAAGGGATTCGCGACAAAAGTGTTATGTTACAACAAAAAATGTCACCGCATAGTGTTTTTTTTCAAGGGAACCTCAGGGGGGGAACCGGCCTAGCTGGGATGGTGTGATTTCATATTTAGGATGGACGAGTGGTCAGAATATATATGAAATCGTATTATCCCAGGGGGAACGGATAAGTCCAGGGGGGGTAGAGCCGAATCTTTTTTAAGAAAGGAGAATTGACTTGCCGAACCTGAAGTTGTCAACTCCACGGCTCGCGCAATCATCCCACCCACCCAACGGCAACTTGGCTTGCAAAACCCATGCAGGAGTGGTTGCGATGAGTGCTGGGTGTTGACTGGTGCATCTCTGCGGCCGCGCTAACCCGCGGATGCTCGCCGGCGCAGCGGCCAGCTAATTTGGCGCGACCGACGCGAACGCGGTGGCGCTAACCGCTCGGCGAATCCCAGCGGGCACTTCAATGCGAGTCGGCGACTTGGGCGGGCGCGGTATCATAGCAACGTCGACGACGGTATACATGATGATGATAGTAATGATGCTGGTGACGTTGCTGACAACGACGACGGGGCAGCCAGTAACGGCGCCGATGTTGGTCACGCCGATGACGATGACCGCGTCTTCGCGTCGGTGATGAAGGTTAAGAGGGAATTCGAATTGCTCGCGCGGCAGACGCGCGAGAGTAGCACGCATGGTATTGTTTCGCACGGATCGTGCCACCCCAGCACGCGCGCAAGGGCGTTCGAACGAATTCGGCATGTCCGCGCGAAGCCCGTTTGGCAGCATTTTATGTACATGTTGAAAAACGTTGGGTTTTCGTAAGAACGCGCGCACGTTTGTTGTTGAAAGGTCGTGTTGCGAAACCCTGCGTTTTTAAATGTATTTTGGACACTCGATTTTAAAATCCTTCCGAAACCGAAGGTGTTTGAAAGATTCCGGCATGCGCGCGCGACGCGCGCGTGTACACTTCGTCCTATCTGCTGCAAGGGATTCTCGCGACGGCACGCGCGCAAAGGCGTTCGAACGATTTCGGCACGCGCGCGCGGAGGCATTTTTGTGGTTGTTGTTGTTGTTGCTGCTGTTGTTGTTGTTGTTATTGCTGTTGTTGTTGTTCGACCCGTATTGCGAAACACAAGGTTTTCTTTTTTTTTTTCGGCAGTGGAATCTGAAATCCTTCCGACACCGAAAGCTTTTTAAAGAATTCCGACATGCGCGCGCGACGACGCGCGCGTGCGCATTCAGTTTTTTGTTTGTCGAGGGATTCTTGGGAACCCATGGTTTGTGATAAACGAGCGCGCGCACATAGCATTTTTCCAAGGAGGATGGCGGCCGGCCCCCCTGGGATGGTGTGGTGTAACTTCATGTGTAGGATGGACGATGGGGCAAAATCATACGTAAATTGCCATACGAAAGAAATGAATATTTAACCCCGGGGGGGTGAGGGTGGTAGAACCGATTTCCTTAAAAAAAATTTGGTCTTTACCCATGAATTGACACATCCCCTGCTCTTGCAAACATCCCACCCACCCACCCGCAACTTGGTTTGCAAAACCCAAGCGGTGGCGATTGCGATGCATGCTTGGCGTTGGCTGGTGCATCTCTGCGGCCGCGCCAACCCTAGCACGCGCGCGCAGCGGCCAGCTAGTTTGGCGCCACCGACGCGGCCGCGGTGGCGCTGACCGCTGGGCGCATCCCAACTGGCACTTCAGTGCGAATCGGCGACTTGGGCGGGCACGATATCATGGCAACGTCGTCGACGGTAGACACGATGATGATAGTGGCGATGCTGGTGACGATGTTCGCACCGACGAGGGCGCGGCAACTGCGGGCGCCGATGCTGATCACGCCAGCGACGATGACGGCGCCCTCGCATCGGTGATGAAGGATTTGGAAAGAGTTCGACGTGCACGCGCGGCCGACGCACGAGAGTGGCCCGCATGGTATAATTTGACACAGATCGTGCCCCCCCGACACGCGCGCAAGGGCGTGCGAATGATGTCGGCATGCGGCGCCAGAGGCCCGTTTGGCAGAATCCCATGAAGCTGTTGAAAAAAAATGGTTTTCTTAAGAAGTCGCAAGAGCGGGCGCGCAAGCTTTTTTTGAAAACTGATGTTGCGAAACCTTGTGTGTTCGATTGGTTGTTTCGACATCCGGTTTGGAAAAACGTTACGGCACCGAAGGTTTTTTCTTTTGAACAGGTTTCGGCATTCGCGCGCGACGACGCAGCGTGTGCACTTTGTCTCATTTCTCGCGACGGCACGAGCGCAAGGTCGTTCGAACGATTTCGACATGCGCGCGCGAAGCCCGCTTGGTAGCATGTTCTCTAAATGTTGAAAAATCAATGGTCTTTCTGAAGAATTCGCAAGAACGCGCGCGCACGCTTTGTTTGAAAATCCGTGCTGCGAAACCGTATGTTTTTATATGTGTTTTTGGACACTCGATTTTGAAATCCTTCCGACACCGAGTGTTTTTGAAAGATTCCGGCATGCGCGCACGACAACGCGCGAGTGTGCACGTCGTTTCATTTGTTGCAGGGGATTCATGAAAAAATCTGATTGTTGATAAGCGCGCATAGCATTTTGTGCAGAGGATGACGAGGGGGGCTCGAACCCGGCCGGGCTGGGATGGTGCGAGCTCATATTTAGGATGGGCGATGGGGCAGAATCAAATGTACATCGAAACACAAAAAAAGGTGTATCGATAAAGTCGTGGGGGGGTGGGGGCGGTAGATCTTGACTCTGTTTAAGAAAGGGGAATATATGTGGTGCGCAATATATGTTGCGCAGTGCATGTGGGACAATTCATTTGCAGCAACCTACGTGGAGCGATCTATGTGGTGCACTCTATGTGGTGCAACCTATGCTGACGCAGGGGGGGCGGGCGAAAGGAAGATTGTGTGAAGGGTTCGGGGGACGCGGAAGGAACGGGACGAGGAGAGAAAGGTGACGGATGGGAAGAAGGGGAGGGGGAGGGCAAGCTAGGTGCGCTCGCGTCATATCTGACGTCCTACCCCTCCCTCCCATCCCTTACCGTGGCGTAAATCTCCCCTCTATTCTCACAATCGGATGTCGCGGCGTAGCGTAGCATTATATGGCATAGCATGGTGTTGGATATTAACGCGTAGCACGACGTAGCATGGCGTGGCGACGCCCCAAAATGGGGGGGGCTTCCGCGGTCAGCACAATCAAAGAATCGACACCGAATGTGGAATCACTTCCGATGATTTCTTCGGGAGGCCATTTTTTAGATTTTGGGGCCTATTTGGAAAGAGGCATGGCATCGGAAATAATGACGCCAACGCTGCAGCGGGACCACGATTCGGAACGAACGGTCGCCCGAAAATAAGGCCAGCGCTGCAGCGGAAACACGATCCGGAACAAGCGGTAGCCCGAACATGAGGCCAGCGCTTCAGCAAGACCAGCATTTAGAACAAAAGCCCAAGCGCGGAAGCGCGGAAATGAGGACGCGCAGCCTGACATAGCATGGCGTGGCGACGCCCCAAAGTGGGGGGGCATCTGCGGCCCAAAAAATCAACGAATCAGCACCGAATGGTAATCACTTCCGATGTTTTTTTTTCCCCCGGGGAAGGAACAGAAAAACATGTCGTGGCATGACGCTGGAACTAATGACGCCAACGTTGCAGCGGGAGAACGATTCGGAACGAGCGCAATCGCGGAAGTGAGGTCAGCGCTGCAGCGGGAGCACGATTCGGAACAAGCGGTCGCCCAAAAATGAGGCCAGCGCTTCAGCAAGAGCAGCATTTAGAACGAAAGCTCAAGCGCGGAAGCGCGGAAATGAGGACGCGTATCCTGACATAGTATGGCGTGGAAACGCCCCAGCGTGTGTGTGTGTGGGTGTGAAAAGACTTCCGCGGTCCAACAAATCAACGAATCGGCACCGAATGTGTAGTCAAATCACTTCCGATGGTTCTTTCCTGCGGCCGTTTTCTAAATCGTGGGGCTTATTTGGAAGGACCGAAAGACATGCCGTGGCATGGCGCTGGAAGCAATGGCGCCAGCGCTGCAGCGGGATCACGATTCGGAAGGAGCGGAAGCGCGGGAATGAGGCCAGTACTGCAGCGGGAGCACGTTTCTGACCGAGCGGCAGTAGCCCGAAAAGCAGGCCAGCGCTTAAGCGAGAGCAGCATTTCGAAAACAACAACCAAGCAAAAACCCAACTCCCGGAAATCCTGTGCGTAAGAAAAACCAGTACGCGGAGGGGGGCCGAACAATCCCCAATTGTAAATCTGGGATTCTGGGAGCCAACATAAGGCCATTCAGCCTCGCACAAACAACCGGTGACACGTGTCTCCCCCGAAACCTTCTGAGAAAAAACGATTGCAAATTTGGGACTCTGAGGCCAAGATAAGGCCATTTAGCCTCACTAAGAACAACGGGCGACGCGTGTCACCCCAGAAACGGTGAGAGACAAATCAATGGTAAACTTGGGAATCTGGAGCCAATGTAAGGCCAGTCAGCCTCACAAAAGCATCCGGTGACACGTGTCTCCCCCGATACCGCGCGAGAAGAAACAATTGTAAATCTGGGGTTCTGGGAGCCAGCGTAAAGCCATTGAGCGTCACACCGCGCGCGAGAGCTGGACGCCGCCGCGCGCAAGCGCGCACAGTCTCACGCGCACGTGCGCACAGAGTAAGATGAAAACTACCTACTCGTCGATCGAAGTAAACTGCACATCTGCACGCGTACAGTTCATGCGCATATACCAATGCATGCGCGTGCGTGCGTGTGTATACACATATGTTCTAATGCTATATATATATGTATACAAATATGTATATCAACATGCATTTGTGCATTTATCAATCGCATCGTTCGGTCTCCATGGAACGTTTTTCAGAGTATTTTCCAGAGGGGACAATTAAACACATAAGTTTTCGGCGGCGAATTAATGGCACTCGGGATCCAGGGGGGGAGGGGGGGTCCTCATTTTTCAAACAGGTTCTGGACATTATAGATCTCACAAGCGGTCTCACCATTGTTTTCTCAAAAAAATCGACCTATCGATATCACAACGGATCCCACTATCGATTTCCCAAACGATCTCACTATCGATCTCGCCGTCCTGCTCTGGAACACTGACTCGCGCCGTCCTGCTCCAGGACACGGAACACCGACGGAGCACCGACGGGACACCGACGGGACACCGACGCGCCACCGACGGGACACCCAGGGCCACCGCGCGCCGGGGAAGGGTGGGGCGGATAACCGGGTCCACAGCACCTAGCTACGGCGGCATCATTCGTCTCGCGCGCCGACTCAGCTTCGCATCGACCGCACGCACGACACGAAGACGAAACCAACATCGATTTCCCTGCGATCTCACCCCCAAGCCTCCGACAAAAAAACTCTCGGAGTTCCGCGCGGATTTCTCGGATCGGCGCTGTACTCCCTGGCGCGCGGAGCACGCCAGGGGCAGCGCCAGAGGCGCCGCCAGGGGTGCCCAGCGCCGATCCAAGAAATCCGCGAGGAGCTCCGCAAGCTGAAGCTTATACCGTTCTTTCTTCTGCGAACGTCCTCCTGCGCCTCCTCCCTCCCTCTCGTAGCATGGAGATAACGGATCCTGAAGAAAACGGGTCCTGGGTGCTGGAGTCTTGCCCAGGGATGAGATCTCCATCCTGAGTCGTTTTCCGACAGTCCTGTGGCGCGCGGAGGGCCCCGAGCGCCTGACAACGGCGAAAAACCTCAGGGCCCGTCTCCCTCAGGACCTGCTTCCTCGATGGCGACCCCGCCTCCCGGCCGCGGCCGACCTGGGAGCCGGTACACGTTGTACACGTTCAGGCGCCGGGCGACCTCCTCTCGGCGGCGAGCGAGGGAGGAAATGAGAAATAGAAGGCCTTCTCAGAAGGCGGCGGGGCTTCTGGGAAGGCCTTCGGCCTTGTTAGACATTTTTTTGCGTCTGCGGGGGAAACCAGCTTTGAGAAGGCCTGGGGACTTCCGAGCCTTGTGAGGAGCCCCGCCCTTGGCTGCCTCGGCACGCAACACGCAACCCGTAACGTGTTGACACGGAGCTCAACGCGTAGACTGAATACGAAGGTCTGGCGCGATACGTTCGTCCAAACGTGGGCCAACACGGTGAGCCAACACGGAGGTCCGCGCGGATTTCCCGGACCGGCGCTGGACCCCCCTCCCTGGCGGAGCGCGCCGGGGGCAGCGCCGGAGGCGCCGCCAGGGGGCCCCAGCGCCGATCCGAGAAACCCGCGCGGGCCTCCGAGTCATCATGTTTGTGTCGTTGTTCGTCCCCCGCTTGAGGCCCGGCCCGCCCCCTCTCGCTCCCCCCCGGTCGGGTGTTGCTAGAAGTGCCCCTGGCCCAAGGAGGCCGCCAGGGCCACCGCGAGAATCCTGGGGGTACCTTTTTGGACGCCCGAAATGGGTACAATGCCCAACAACAAATGTTGACCCAAACCAACGGCGGCCGCTGTTGGGCGGGCGGCCTTCTGTCTCGAATGGACACAGGCCGCGACGGCGCCGACAGCGAGTCCTGCTCAAAATGAACAGGAACTGCTGCTGGGCATTGTGCCCATTCTTTCCGTGCCCATTTCGGGCGTGCAGAACCTTGGGCCCGGGGTGCTCCTGGCCTTTGTGGGCCCCGGAAACGGCAGGGCCGTTTTTTCACCGTTTCCAGCAAAATGCCCCTTGAAAATGGAAACGGCAAAAAAACGGCGACGGCAAAAAAACGGCTCCGGGATTGGAACCGGACCTGGAACCGGTCAAAAAACGGCGACGGAACCGGCAAAAAAACGGCGTCGGAACCGGCGAAAAACGGCAAAACGGAACCGGTAAAAAAATTGCCCTGTCGTTTCCAGGGCCCGCTAAGGCCCAGGGTACTCCTGTCAACCCCCGACCCCAGGGCTCGCCGCCGATCCTGGCCGCCGGCGTCGTACAGCCGCACGCTGACGGTCACGGGGCCGCCCGCCTGGCCGAGGACCACGTTGTCGACCTCGGCGGCCGTCGGGGCGCTCGCGCGCCGCCTTGCTGCGCTGGCGCCCGCCTGGCGCCTGCCAGTGGCAGGGGTCCACCCCCCAAAAACAATGCTTCTCGTGGTCGTTTCGTTTCCGCCGTCCCTGGCTTTTGTCTTCCGTCCGCCCCTGCTGCAAGACGCCTGCTGCAAAAGGGCAGCAAACATCGGCATCGAAACGACATCGGCCCACGAAATCGCCAGCACATCGTTTAGTTCGACCGGAGGAGGAGGAGGAGGAGGAGGAGGAGGAGGAGGAGGAGGAGGAGGAGGAGGAGGAGGAGGAGGAAATGGAGGAGGAGGAAATGGAGGAGGAGCTGTCCTGGGCCTCCTGGGCCTCGGCCGACGGCTGGCGTTTCTGAGATATCGGGGCTCCCGAGGGCTTTCGCTCTGGCCCCACGGCAGACAGAAAACAGCCCGCTGCGGGGGATCCGTAGCAATTGGTCGGGAAGGAGCGGGTCGAACCACGAAGTGTGAGGGCGCTGAACGCAGATTGGGTTTTTTCCGCCCGCCCACTGACGAGGGAGAACAGGGCAAAACCACGCGATGACAGACGTGAAATGGAAAGGCGCCTGAAGCAGACTGGAACCTGGGGATCCTGAGATGCCCACTTGCAGCGACGGATCCACATGGCAAGCAAGGCTTCGGGCGGCACGCAGATATCCCCCCCAGCCAGTCCCAGCTGGCCGCCACAGGCCTCCCGAGGAGTCCGGGCTGGTCTCAACACGCCCCCCGAGTACTCCAGGGCGGTCCCAACTGAAGGGGCCCCAGGGCACACAAACAAATACACACAGATCAAACAAATCCCCATATGTTACTATATTTTGGGGGGTCTTGCCTCCCCCCCCATTCCCACATTTCCCCATATCTTCTTGGGGATCGACGATGAATTGTGTCTGTGTGCTGTTTCCCCTGCTGACCAGCACCCTGCTGGGGCGCTCTCGCCGCCCCCGGGTTGGGGCGTCGAGACCTCCCCTGGGCTGCTCGGGGAGCCCGTCGAGGCCTGCCAGGGGGCCACGGAGAACTCGTCGAAGAGGGACACACTCGGCGGTGGACAAACCTCCCTTTATCGGGTCGGGCGAAAGGGGGGGATAGCAAAGGGGGGGTTTGAGAATCAGCTCATGTAGCTGATTTTCCCGGCGCCTCCCGGCCATGTATCGAGGAATGGGCCCCTCGGTGAGGCCGAAACCAGCTGCATGCAGCAAATTTCGTAACCCCCCCTTTCCCAATCCCCCCCTTTCGCCCGACCCGTAGCGGCCTGGGGCCGAAACCGGCGGACCTGGACCCGCAAACATGACGGCCGCGACGCCCTCTCGCGAACCGAAACCGGCCAATCCCTTAATCGACGTGTCAGGGTAGGAGGTCTGTCCACCCACGACACACGACGAGGATGCCACGGCCCGTGGAGGACCACGACGACACGTTGCGAGCGGGGCGCGGCCAGCGAAAGCGGCCAAGGATGGACCGAAGGGCAACCTTGGGAAGTCGAGCCTTGCTACCCGTGTTGAGTGTACTCGGGGGGCTCGTGGAGGCCAGCCGGGACCTGCATTGTGGACCCCTGTGTGATTCGTGAGCGAGGGCGACGACGACGACGACGACGACGACGACGACGACGACGAGAGGAGTAGGAGGAGGAGGAGGAGAGGAGGAGGAGGAGAGAGGAGGAGGAGGAGGAGGAGGAAGGAGGAGGAGGAGAGAGGAGGAGGAGGAGGAGGAGGAGGGAGGAGGAGGAGGAGGAGGAGGGAGGAGGAGGGAGGAGGGAGGGAAAGCTCGCGGAGGTGGCCCACGAATGGTCTTCGACGGCTCGCCTCTCATCTCTCTTTCGGGCTCTCGCGATTGCAGAGATCAGTCGTGCCACATCAGGAAGTCATCAGCGTAGCATCAGCAAGGGCGCCAAACTTTGCGCTTCGCGCTGCGCGAAGCGCGCATCACCTCGCGCTCTCGCGCCGCCTCCCAGGGGATAAAAAGAAAATGAAGAGGAACCGGAGCCGAATCGCGAAGCGTGAACAACTTCGCGCCCTCGAGGGTGCTCTTGCATTCGTTATCCAGGCCCGAAGGTAGTGTGAGGCAGATGCGCCACTCCCCCTGGGTTATCCTTAGGTCGGGCGTGTCCTCCTACAGGCGGAGCTTGGGCGAAAAAATTAAAAGAGTCAAACAATGACCAAGAATAGTCAGAAATTGATGAAAGATTATCCCGTGACTATTTTGGCTACTTTTGAATTTTCCACCTGTAGAGGGACGTGCCATGTATCCCCTCAGCTCGGCATGGTTCAACAAAACAGAAAACGACGATTGGACAGCTTCCAACCGGAATGCCTCAGGAAAATATTGAACATTCCCCATTCCTTCATTTCTAGAATACCAAACAAAACCTTTCTGGAGAATAGCCAACAGCTACCTTCCACATCGCAACGATTGCATCAACAACTTCAGCTACTTGGAAATATTGGCTGGAGCGCTATAACACTCAGGCGCTACGTGCGGCGACGCTTCAACCTGATCGTCTCATGCCGGTTACGCTGACTTGCAAACGTGCGCGGGGGAGACCAAGAAGAGTATGGGCAGCAGACTTGTTATCAATTGTTTCTTCTTGTTTCCCTTGCTCGGAAGCTTTAATGGACACGCTCCGAGACAAGAACAAATGGTACGATGTCAGCATCAAACTTTCCAGGCCAACTGGATGCGGAGAAGAAATACTTATGATATGTATTGCATGGTTTGTGCGTTTTGGCGGATAGAACACATTTATCATCATTTTCCTCCTTCCCCCTCGCCCTCACGGCGCGCATTTGGCGCGTCCGGCCACTTGGGCACGCCTTTGGCGTGTCAGCGTCGTCCTCCCCTTCCCCCTGCTTGCGCGCTCCCGGCGGCGCGCATCTGGCGCATCCGGGCCCTCTGGACACGCGTTTGGCGCATGATTGTCTGCTGCTGCACGGCTTTGGCGAGTCGCCCTTCTTTTCTCCGCCCACGCGCATTCGGCGTTTGGCGGCTTCGTTCGAGAGGGACGTGCCCGATTTAAGTTGAGCAGGGACCGACCGTCTCGACCTTTCTATAGGCCTACCACGACATGTTCTTAGAACCCAAACATGTTCTAATAACAAGAACAATGTTCTTATAACATAGACCCGATGTGATGAATCAAGACAGACGCCGCCAGAAATGTTCTAAGAACATGTCGTGGAAACCGCAACAGGTTCTCAGAACAGTCTTCGGTAGGCCTATAGGCGAGCCAGGACGCTTCGCCACCGCTTGACGACTTAAGATTAAGTCGGGCCTGTCCCCCTACAGGGGGAGTTTGGACGAACAATAAGAAAGAGTCCAAAGATATTCAAAAGATGCCCCAAACATGCTCGAAACATAGTCCCCTGACTATTTTTTGACTATTTCTGAATATTCCCCCTGTAGAAGGACAGGCCCGACTTAAGCTTCAGGTTATCCGGCGCCCGCCGCGGCTGCCGACGCCTCGCCTGCGTGGGCAGAGCGTGCGCCCTGCTCGCCTCGACGGTTTGACCCTGGATTTCTTCGGTTCCGATGGCTCTGCTGTGGTAGGCGTGGCGCTCCCACACCAGGCATCGATGGGCGCCCTGGGGCCTCAGGGTTGGGCTTCCCGTGGAAGGCTTCTTGTGGACTGGAGGAGGAGGAGGAGGAGGAGGAGGAGGAGGAGGAGGAGGAGGAGGAGGAGGAGGAGGAGGAGGAGGAGAGGCGGAGGAGGAGAGAGGAGGAGGAGGAGGAGGGAGGGACAGCTCGCGGAGGAGGAGGGAGGGCAACGACGACGACGACGACGAGATCCGTGCGAGTGTTCCTGGTCGAGTGCCCCGGGGCCCCGCGGGCTGACGGAGCACGAGGGCGCGGGAGGCCTGGGCCGGAGTCGTCGCGAGCGCGAGCGCGAGCCTGCGCTCGGGGCCCTACCAGGGGCCAGCGCGCCGATGCTTAGCAGTACCAGCTTCCCCGCCGATGGGGGCTCCACCACTCGAGGCACCAGCCGCGGAGCAGAGCGAGGACGAGGAGCAGAAACACCTGCCCCCTCGCCTCTCCAGGGGAGGCCCAAGACGAAGCCCGGACACGAGGATAGAATCGGGTGGGGATAGATCGAGGATCTCTGAGGTCCCGCGGCTCTGGAGGACGCCTCGGCCGCCGCGGCCTTCTCAGAGCGCACGCTCTGGAAGGGATTGTATCCTCGTCCTGGCCCCGCCCGAGGGCCGTCCCCCTGCCGCTGGTGCAGGAAGGCGAGGGCGAGACGCGAACTGCTCGAGCAGCTGCAGGCAGCCGGCGAAGCGCCAAGGGGGAAAGCTTGGGAGCTTGTGGTTCGAGTTAGGTCGGGCATGTCTTCCTACAGGCGGTGTTTGGAGGGGAAACAAAAAAAGGGTCAGACGTACCCCAAATTCATCCAGACATCATCAAACACCGTCCCCAGACTATGTGCTTGAGATGCTAGTTTTGAATATTCCTCCTGTAGAGGGACATGCCCGACTTAAGGTTCGAGGTGTTCGGGCGTCTTTGAAGGGGCCCCAGGACACACAAATAAATACCCCCAAATAAAAATATTCCCAATACTTTCAAATATTTTCAGGGTTTCTGTCTTCCACCCCACTTCCCATAGTTTCCAATATTTTCTGGGGAATCGAGGGTTAATTATGTCTGGGTGTGTTTTCCTCTCCTGATTCTCGGTTCTCGCTTTTTCTCTTCCCGCCTCGTGGGGCTTTCGGGT